AACTGTACTGCATGCACTTTTGTGCAGTAACACTTTTGTCAAAGGCAGAAGAGTGAAAACAACTCATTTAGACCTCAGTTTGACTTGTCGAGCTTGGCTTATTTGTAGATTTTTTTTTTTGAACTGTGTATTTATGCTTTATAACAGTTTAAGATAAGGTAAAGTCAGCAAGTTTAAATTGCAGGTTGAAACAATTTACTAATTACGGTATTTTTTCATATACATACGGGAGGGAAGCAGGGCTTTGCAAAAATCTTGCAAAACACCTAGCTAAAAGGCTGGTATGGTGGATTTGGAGTGCATGACATGTGGTTAGATTTATTTTATATCCAAGGGAAACCAGGCACTCCAGGGCTACTTAACCACTTCCTTATTTATTGCAAGCTTTAAGCAGTTAATACAGTTTAAGTTTTTTACAAGCCTTAAAAATAATTACTATACAATTTAAACCTTAAATACTATAAATTCTAAAGCAATTAATACACCGCAAAGCAGTGCAAAAGCAATTAATGTAAGATCTACTATAATACAATAATAAAGCCTAATTCACTTACACTTCACCTGCATGCTACCTGCAGTACCAGGCAGGAGGTTGTGGCTCCTTTTCTTCCACACAATGGAACGCCATGCACGGGGTTGCCGGTGTGAAGGGCTTATTTGCTTCTAGTTACATTGAGCAGGACCTGTGGGTCAATCCTGCCCCATTCCCTCCCATCGGTTATTTTTACTAAGCCCATGTTATAGTAAAGCGAGGCTTGGTGGTTATAATAATATTTACCAATTGATTACGTACTGTGTAGGATACATAAAATCCCCTATTTGGGGAACATCCTGCTGCTCAGGATGTTGCTGCTATATGTGTAGTTGACAGTCTTATGGCTGCATCTGTAACTTTTTGGTTATCAAACAGAAGTACCAGTACAAGGTTGTTCGTCCTGTGGTGTTGCGATGTGGTCTCGCAAACCATGCTTAATCTGCCTGGTTATTCAAAACATTCCTTCCTCTCAGGCCTTGCCTGCGTGCTTATGTGCACCAGATTTGAGACAGGCCTGAGTTTTGCTTTAAAGGCAGACCTCACCATTTATTGTCAAGTCAGGATAGTCCAAGCTCCCCTACAGTGTGCCATATGCAAAGTCCAGGCCCAGTGCTCTAATGAGAAGCCCATCCCAGCTCCTAAAGACCCTGAGAACTGGAACTCTTATTGACAACATTATCAGGTTTCATTAACCTTTGCGAGATTTTTGAATAGCTCCTGTGAAACATCTATATTGTCAATTCTTTTGCTTTAGGAAACTGAACTGAGTCACTAGAATTGCTGTCAGGTTAAAGGAGACACTGTCCATTTGTATTTGGAAGGTTATCTTTGGCTATGTCTGCATGACAGATGCAACATTAGCACTGGTTTTGCAGCATAGACAGACTGTTATACTCTGTAGTGTAGATACTTTTTATGGTAATGGAAGGGATTTTTCTGTTGCTGTGGTAATCCATCTCCCCAAACAATGGTAGCTTCTGACAGAAGCATGCTTCCTTTAACTTAACCACATCTACATCAGGCAGTAGGTAGGTCAGCATAGCCTTTTACATTCCTGAGCACTGTAACTGTTAGCCTGATTTCTAAGAGTAAACAAAGGCTTTGCAACAATAAAGTCAAGAAACTCTCTTTAAAGGAAAGTTTTATTCTACTGGTAGTGGTGGCTTAAACACCACCATGCTCCAAAGGGAGTTTCCTACCCCAACTATCAGATGAGCAAGTGGATTTATCAAAACAAGGATGTATGTTTCCTGGGGTTCTTCATTCTTCCTTACTGTGGTAATGCTGCTGAGCTTAATAGCATCAGTGTTCTTAATTTGTCTTCTGTTGTACAGTAGACACTGGATGATGCGTTAAGTCGTGAGGTACACCTTTCAGCTGTTTGACCAATAAACTCCATGTCTGATGTTCTGAGAACACTGCTAGGGCAAGTGGATAGTTCACACTCCAGCCCATTCAATCTTTGGTTTCTTGGTGTCAACATGAATTTTTGGTTTTGAATGACATCTGTGATATATGCTTTTGTCTGTTGGAAACTGGACTGACACGCACTCCTCTTCTCTCTCTCTCTCCCCCCCCCCAATAAAACCTATTATACAGTTTCCAGATGGCAACAACTTTCGGTCACTGTTAACTTGGAATAGATTTGTTTGTAGGCCACTTGTTCAAAAAACCTCTGTTTTCATTTCCTTGAGTCAGTTACATTATGTAGCATCCTGTAACTTCTCACATCCTTTCGCTGTAGTTAGACCTTGCCATTCCTCTTTATCACTTTGTGTATGACCAGTGAACAGCAGCAATCTTTGCACTTTCGTCTAGAACTCCTAAAGGGAAGTAGCTTTTGTTGCTGAATCGTGTTTTTCCCCCTCTGTACATTAAAACATAAATTGCTGAGAATTTGTCTACACTTATGCAGCTGCAGTGCTTGGTGAGGATGCTACCTATGTCTCCTATTGTAAATATTCCACTTCCTTGAGAAACAGTAACTATGTTGATGGGGGAAAGCCTCCTGTTGAAGTAGCACTGTTTGCACTGAAGGTTAGGTTGGTAAAAATACTGTAACTTAAGGGTTGAAAATTCTCACCCCTAGAGACCTGGTTATTCCAACATAAGTTGTTGGTGTGGAACAAGGCTGAGACTGGTTCACTTTTCACTGTGTTACCTGCTCCGGGAATCATGATAATAGAAGCCCTGTCTACATGAAGGAAAATGGCAATGGCATAACTACATCATTATGGAGTCAGTGTGGTAATGCTACAGATTGCTTGTTACTAATGCCATGTAAAATGGCATGAAAATTGGCATATGGAAATTCAGTCACTCCATGGGTTTGCATGAGATCTTCTAATTTCAGTTAGACGATACTGTGCGCAAACTGCCAAAAAAGGGATGACACTAAGTAAAAAAATCACTTTTACTATAGATTAGTTATTTTTTACATGTTTAAAATGTTGTCATTTTAGAAAACAAAAAAAAATCTTTACCTGTATTTCTAAAAACATTTCAGGTTATTAAAGCATAATCAATGTAATCATACTAATTTAACTACTGGTGTTACAAATATCTTAAATTACAGAACGATTAGAAAATATTTTACTTTATTCCACAACATTGTCGTGTGTGTGTGTGTGTGTGTGTGTGTGTGTGTGTGTGTGCGTGCGTGCGCGCGTGTGCCTCTTCCATAGTGAGCCAGGGTTTATTTAGATGAAAGCATAAAATAGGAATCATTAAATGCAAACCAATTCCTTTTAATAAATATGCAAATATCTTGGGTTTTGTAAATCATTTTTATATGAAACCCTTGTATTTAAGTGATCTGACAACATACCTCTAATCAAGAGTTAAACTACCCATTTGCTGCTGACTTTAGGTACATCCACTGAGCGTATACTTGAGAGAGTGATTTCAATAGTTACTTAATTTTAATGGTTTAAATGGGTATCTCTTTTCAAAGAAATATTTTCGCTTAAATCTATTGTCTCTAGTATAGCACAGAAGGTAACTGTAACAAGGTGATGGTGATACATTTTATTAAAATTCTCAGGGATTTAAGAAACCCCACAGCAACAGAACAGTATTGTAGCAGCATGCTACACAAATTGTTTTTGTTCTTTCCTTAGGAGGATTCAGTTTGATTTCTGTGAAAACAGGCATTAGACACCAGGGATCTAGTTTGACTATTTATTAAGGTAAGTAATGCCTTTTTTATTTCTTGTAGTGTTTACAAATCTAATTTAATTGGCAGGTACTACAGAAAGAACAAAGTTCAACTGCAGTCGGTAGGGAAATTTCCCAACATTTTGATGGAGGTAGAAAGAAATCAAAATTTAGAATGCTTTCCAAACACCATAAATCATGTTACAATCTGATACATGTAGGATTTTTTTAGCAAATATACATGAATGTATTTCTATAGAAAGGTGCCAGATTGTGATAACTGCTCCTAATTAGCATGAAGCAGATGGAGTGGATGTGGAGGCCAGTAGTGGTATTAGTTATGGTATAAATCAATATTTACTAATACGTCTGTGGATAGCTTGGGACTTTATGAAATCTTTTACCAGTAAATATTGGTTGAAACAGAACATCTAATTTAAAACTAACACTTTAAATTACATAATCTGCTGCACTGGGAAACTTGAGATTTCACTTTTTTCCTCTGGAAGGTTGACTTTTTAAATATGATGTTTAGATTTTACGAGGAAACCTGCAGTCAGCTGCCAGGATTCACTGGGATAAGACACTCCCTCAATATCTAGAGCATCACCAAATGTATACAACACAAGGCACCTGTGGAGGTACTATTTATAATTGGTAAAATCCCAGCCCAAGATCAGTTGCCATGCTGATCTGCTATAGCAGATAAGCAGGTTAGTGCATCTGGGATAGCATCTTCATTTTCATGAGGATCATTGGACTCATGCATTCATGACAGTTTTACAAGCTGTGCTAAAGGTTGCCATAAAATATCTCATTTTACTTTTTCTATTGTAATATTTTTTTTCTATCATTATCAGCAAATTGCTTATCATAGTAGCTGTTAATCTTGCCATTGGAATTTTTTTCTTGAAGCGGAGATGAAGATAGGAGTTCTTGGACTTAGGAAGATGGCTAGTTGATATTGATGCCGAGGTGCTTGATCTAGAAGAGTGAAGATGCTTAATTTTCAGTCTCTTCTCTGGTTTTTAATTCCAAGGCAGTTGGTTTAAGCAGTCTCAGATTGTGGGGAAAAAGTCCCTTCAGGCAGATTTAATTGTAAAGAACAATTATGTACCTTTGATAAACATTTTTGTAACCCAGATCTATAGGAAGATGAACTACTACTAGCATTTGTTGATAGGTAAGATGTGTTTCAGCCTCATAAGAGACATAAGGTTATCCTGTATACGCCTTCTTATTCCACTTCACTTTTTGATGTATTCAGTGATGTCAGTCCATTGTTTATGACATCATGGTTCTTCTTTGAAATGATTCTGAATTTCTGTACTCAACAAATCATGCAGGAGGGACATATTGATCAGAAAGAAAAAAGCTTCAGTTTACATAAGTATCATAGTAGTCACAGGCAATGGTAAGAAAAGACGCATAAGCCAAGCGTGGTGGGTGGTTCAGTGTTTCTGTATAATTTGTGCCTAGAAAATTACTCCTAAAATATCTTATCACTTAACTTACACACCATCATTTTTCTTTGCAAAAACTGCTCATTATAAGCTAACCCCCAAAATTTTGATTTTAGGTGGCAGAAAGGTTCTGAGGTGCTGAGCATCCTCGGCCTCCATTGACTGTTTGAATGTTTAACTTGTATTTGTGAATTTACATCTTTATTAAAGCTACTGTTTCAGAGAATCTCATCTGGGGAATTGGTCTAAATCAGTCAACCCGTTGGTGGTTCTGCTTTGGGCCTGTGCTAATATAAATATGAAAAGAAATACAAAATTAATTTGAAGTATGTAAAGTAATATTAGAGACAACTTTGGGCTCTTCAGTTTGCAAATATTTTGCTAATATTTAATGCCTAAGTCTGGAGGCTAAAGGAAAACTACCGTTGTTAGAATATGCGTTCAAGTTTAACGGTCCAATGACAGATGGTCTTTGCTGTCCATTGAGTTAGCAGTGAACTGATGCAGAACTTCAAGGCTGTTTCTAAACTTGATCTAGCTCTTGAGAGTCCTGAATTGTTAAATATATATATTCTAAATAGCAGTGCAACTAGAATGAGCAAAAAGCAAACACCTAACCCCCAAACCACTGAGAGTGTGTTTCAAGCGGGCTGTCTGCTTCAGGTCTGAGGAGAGGATTTTTGATTCATTTTAGTTTGGGGCAGGCCTGAGCAAAATATGGCTGGCCTACAGAGGCAGTGGGAAGCCCCAGGCAGGCTCCCCTGTTTGCCCCGCAGCCCTGCGTACCATACAGAAATGCAGCTGTAGGGCTCTGTTTCTCTTTTAAAACTGGAAGGGAGGAGGGAAGATTCAGGAGCCGCCCTGCCCCCAGCACAATCCCGTTGGCTTGTTTCTGGCCAGAAACCAGCCATTGGGAGCTGCTTGTTGGAATAACAGGCAGCCAAGAAGAACCACTCAGTCTCCTCTGCTCAGTTACTCAGTGAAGCACATGGCCAGGCAAGCAGTCAGGCTGGCTGGCTGGGAAATGTTTTAAGCTCTGCAGGCAGGCAGGTTAGTTTGGCAGCTGGCAGGTAAGTCTCTTGGCCACAGCCTGCTTCTGGCACCCCAGCCCTTTCCTGCCCCAACCCTCTGCCCCCCCACTCAACATACCCAAACTCTGTCATCCTCTTACACCCATACCCCCTCCCAGATTTGGCACCCCAGTCTCCTGCCCCAGATCAGTCCCTTTCTTCCCTATGTCACATCCCAAACCCCTGCACTCCAGTCCCCTGCCCTAGGTCACAACCGCCTCCTTCACCCAACCTCCCTCCCAGACTCCAGTCTCTCTCCTGCACTCAATCCCTTACCCCAAGCTCCATCCCAGACCCCACATTTCCTTCTCTAATATCATGGAAGAGTGTGGCCCTTGACTACTTTCCAAAATCTTGGAGTGGTCCCCCTGTCACACAATATTGCCCACCCCTCGCTTAGGGTAACAAGGTAGGCTTCAACTGAGAATGAGAGCCAGGGCCAGCTTTTAGGAAGTGCGGGGCCCAATTCGAACAATTTCGATGGGGCCCCACAGCAATTTTGGTTAAGCAAAAAACAAACCACACCACATACACACAATCCCCCACTAACACCCCCACCCCCCAAAGCACAGGAAAACCCTGTGCTCAACTCACACCTCATGTGGCGCAGACAGCTGCTGCACTCCTCCGGGGCCGACACCCCCTCCCGCAGCATCCCTGGCACACTTCCAGGCAGGGGCGGCAGGGTTGTATAATTTTTTGGTGGTGCCCCGTTAGCC